TAAGAAAAATCTGAGCAGTTAAAGACGAAATAGATAGATGAGACTACATAACAATTAAATGCTTTTGTACATCGAGGGACTTTATCAATAAAGCGAAAAGACAACCTACAGATTGGGAAAAAATTTTCAGAACTGTCATATAGATAAGGGCTTAATACCCAAAAAATATTTAAAACCATAACATCTTAATAACAAAAAGACAAACAACTCAATCAAAAAATGGGCAAAGGACTTGAACAGTTTAATAAAGAGGATATTCAAATGGCCAACAAGCACATGAAAAATTGTTCAGTATCATTAGCCTTTAGGAAGATGCAAATCAAAACAGCATGAGACACCACCTCACGCCCATTAGAATGACAATGATCAAAAAAACAGAAAACAAGTGTTGGAGAGGTTGTGGAAAAACTGGAACCCTCATGCACAGCTAGTGGGTATGTAAAAGAACAGCGTGGTGGTTCCCCAAAAAGTTGAACACAGAATTACCATATGACCCAACAATCCCAATTTTAGGTATATACCCAGAAGTAAAGGCCAGAATGCAAACAGAAATCTGTATATCAATGTTCACTGCAGTACTTTTCACAATAGCTAAAAGGTGAAAACAACCCAAACATCCATCAGCATATGAATGGATAAGCGAAATGTGGTATATATATACAATGGAATATTATGCAGCTAAAAAGAGAAATGAAGTTTTGATGCATGTCATAACATGGATGAACCCTGAAAAAATTATCGCTGAATAAAGTAAGTCAATCACAAAAAGGGTAAATACTGTATGATCTTACTTACATGAAATATGCAAACATATAGAAACCAAAGATTATTAATGGCTAATAGGGGTGGGAAGGAAGAGGGAAGGGAAAATTTGTTTAGGGTCATTGAATTTAAGTTAACGGTTGAAGAATATTTTAGTTAAAGATAGTGATAATGGTGGTACAACATGAAAAATGTAATCAATGTCACTGGGTTGTAAATGTGTTAGCTGCTATGTTGGCAAATGTTTTAGTGTATGTTTTCAACACAATTAGGAGGTAAAAGAACAATGAACTGATGGGGCAAAATAGCAAAACAGTACATTTAAACCCAACAATATAAATAATACATTTTAATGAAAAGGTTTAAACACTTTAAGATTAAATGCCAGAGACTGGCAGACTGGAGAGAAAAAAGCAAGATCCAATTATATGTTGCCTACAAGAAATATACTTTAAATATAAAAGCACAGACAGATTAATAGTAAAAGAATGAGGAAAGGTCATCAACAATAATCAAAGTAAGCTGAAATGGCTATTACTAAAATCATACAAAGTTGACTTCGGAATAAAGATAATTACCAGAGATAAAGAGGGACATTTCATAATGAAAAACACAAAGGTCAATTCATCAGAAAAACATAGCAATCCAAAATGTGTAAGCACTCAAGGACAGAGCTTAAAAGACCATGAACCAAAGTTGATAAAACTGAAAAAACTGACAAATCTACAAATATAAATGGAGATATTAATACTCTTTTCTGTATAATGGATTGAACAGTAGACAAAAAGTCACTAAGGATATAGGAGACATAGGAGACAAACACTCTCAACCTACTTAATCTCACTGGTATTTATAGGACATACTACATCTAGTCCATATGGAACAGTCACCAAGATAGATCTTATTCTGGGCTATGAAACAAATTTCAATAAATTTAAGAAAACCGAAATTACATATTATATGTTCTCTGGCAAGAGCATAATTAAATGAGAAATCAGTAATAAAATATCTGAGAAATCCTCAAATATTTGAAAATAAAAGCATACACTTATATATATATATATATATATGTATATATGTATATATGTAAATATGTAAACGTCTAAATAAATAACCCATGGATCAAAGAAGTCACAAAGGAAATCAGAAAATATTTTGTGTTGAATGATAATAAAAAATACAATCTATCAAAATTTGTAGGGTATAGCTAAAACAAGGTTTAGACAGAAATTTATAGCTCTAAATGCTCATATTAGAAAATAAATATTTATAAATCAATGATCTAAGGTTCCACTTTAAGAAGTTAAAAGCAAAGCAAATAAAATCCAAAGTAAGTAGAAAGAATAATCACAACTAAGGCAAAAATCAAAAACAGAAAAAACAATAAAGAAAAATCAATTAAACCATAAAGATAGTTCTTGGAAACGATCACTAAACCTGATAAACCTCTAGTTAGCTTACTCAAGATAAAAGAGAAAACATAAGTCACCAATATCAGAAAAGAAAGAGGGACAGCACTACAAATCCTACAGATGTTAGAAGTACAGTAAGTGTATATTATGAGTAACTCTATGCCAATAAATTTGACTACTTAGATAAAATTAACAAATACCAAAACTGGGAGAAAGAATAGAAAATATGAATAGTTCTATATCCGGTAAAGAAACTGAATTTGTAGTTTAATACCTTTCAATAAAAAACCCTATACGCCCAGATGGCTTCACTGCTGAATTTTATGAAACATTCAAGAATACTAATGTTCCACAAAGTACTTCAGAATATAGAGATGAAGGGAACATATGCTTGATCCTTTCACAAGGCCAGCACTACCCTGATGATAAAAAACAAAAACATTGTAAGAAAACTACAAATAACTCTCTTTATCATCAGTGCCACACACAAAAAAAGGCAAAAAATTTGAACACAACAGATATTACAAATGGCCAATAAACACATGAATAGAGGTTCAACATCCTCAGTCATCAGAGAAATACAAATTAAAACAAAAAGATATCTCTACACACCTGTGAAAATTAATGGCTCTAACTGAATAGACTGACAATACCAAGGTAGGTAAGGATGTAGAGCAACTGAAACTATCATATATTCTGAATGAAAGAGGGATGAAGTGGGAGTGTCATAGAATCACTTTGGAAAATAGTTTCTAGTTTCTTATACATTTAACATGCATTTACCACCACAGGACCCAACAATTCTATTTCTCTTACTCAAGAGAAATGAAAACATAAATCCATACGATGACTTGTAAATGAATGTTTGTAGATGCTTTATTCTTAATAGCCTAAATCAAGAAACAATCAAAATGATGATCAACAGGTGAATGGATAAACAAATTTTGGTATTTTCATACAGTTCAACAGTAATAAAAAGGAACAAATTACTGATACATTCAAGAACATGGACCAATCCCCAAAACATACCCTGAGCAAAAGAATCCATATGTAAAACAGATTTCATTTATATGGAATTCTAGAAAAGGTGAAAACTAATCTATAATGACACAAAACGCAATACAGTTGCCTGAGGCCAGTGGTAGGGTGACATTCACTGCAAAAGGAAATGAAAGAACTTTTTGAGGTGCTGGAAATGTTCTAATTCTTGTTTAGGGTGGTGGTTACACAGATGTATACCTCTGTCAAAACGTAAATATTATATGAATTACAGGTGCATTTTTTTTTGTATGATGAAATTATAAGATGATTTATTTTAAGTGGCATTAACACATGTATAGACAAAAAGTTCTGTCTGTACCTCACATCATTCATAAAATTAAACTGGACTGAAGATAACCATAAAAAATAAAACTACAATCATATTAAAAGGGAAGTAAGAGGGTGTGGTTTTGATTCTGGGGAAAGAAAAGCCTTCTTTATCAAGATACTATAAAGCAAAAGCTATAAAGGAAGGGAAAGATATATTTTATTCATTAATATGAAAATCTTCTAGACCAAAAACTTAGAAGATCCTAATTGAGAGATATATTTGCATTACATATAAGAAATTGGTAGAGTCCAGAATTAAAACAAAACATATAAAGCAAAGCAAAACAAAACCCTCCTAAAACACAATAGGTATAAAAAGCAACCTAATGGGCAAAGGGAATAGGCGAATTCATCCACAGAGAAATCAAATGGATGGTAGACATGTAAAGATAAACTTCACTAGTAATCTAGGAAATAGAATGCCATTTTTTACTCAAAATACTATTGCTTAGTAGTATCAAATGGCGGTGTGTACGTTAGGAATAATAGGTAATGCAAGTGGGAGTATCAATGGGTAAAACCACTATGGAGGGAATTTAAAAGCATATATAGAACAAATATTCTCAATACTGACCAATTCTACTTCTTGCTTATTACCCTAAGAAAACTCATATGTACACAAGAAAGCATGAATAAAGATATTCTCTTGAGCAATGTTTACAGAAATGAAAAATTGTGACCCATCTAAATGCCAAACGGGAATGGATAAATAAAGTAGGATACATATATACTGTGGATACAATTAAAAGAAACAAGATAGTTGTATACGTAGTAACACAGAAAAGTCTCCAAGAAATATTGCTGACTGATTAAAGATATACAACAATATATTTATGCAGAAATAAATGAGAAGATGCTTACATGCAAATGATTACATATACATGGATACACATGCATAGAAAAAGACTTGCAAAAATACATATGAAATTAGCTCTAGTGAGGGGGAAGAATCGAAGGAAAGTTATTATTAGGGGTCCTGGTCAAACTCTCATATAAAGAATGAATTTCACATTATTTGTATTAAGTATAAGTTAGTTAAAAATAAACAAATCTGCTGATTTTAGATGACCTTGAAACTGTTGCCTGAGAAAACTCTTACCACAGGACATAAGTATGTCTGCTATGTCCTTGGAAAAGTATTCCCCAGTTAACAGAGTGAGAAGCCCTTACCACCTTTAGCTTAGAATACCGTAATAGTTTACAACAAACATCAATGCCTTTTAAGTCTCTCCCCAATACAGCCTTTAAGCTCTCTCAAGCACCCCTCAATCCAAGTTGCTCTCAATCCATCACGCTGCTTTATTTGCAATTATTACTATATAAAAGCATCTATTTATTTACATCTTTATTGTTCCACAAAATGGGAATGGCAAGACAGAATTCTGAATTCATGTGATTTTAGTCAAGCCATTTAGAATTTTCTCGTAGCATCAAAGACACATTTTATTTACTTACCTTAGTTGGAAAAGGAAATTTGGAAGGTTCTGTTTTGCATGGTGTATGAATAGCCGTTAGAGGGGGAGGCCATGAATGCGTCATCTCCTGAAATGTAATTATTACAATTTGTTTTCAACCAGTCCAAGGATAAAAATTATACAGCTAAAAACCAGATTTGTATTTATAAATACTGGTTTCATAATTGCTTCTCCAAAATAATACATATTTTACAATAAACATTAATTAAGCACAATTGTGTGCAAAGCACTATGGAGTGATAGAAATAAATAATACACATTCCCTGACTTCAAGGAGTTTACAGTTAGAATGATGAGACCTGTGAATGGTTATACAAGTCAAACACAAGGCACTACTAAGGAAGAGCTTGCTGTGGAAGTGGGAGGAAAGGGATAATGGTAAAGAAAACAGGTAACATTTATCCTGTAACTTTAATGGGACAGACACTGAGTTCAGTGCTTTACATGTCTGTTACTCATTTAATACTCACAATGACATTATGAGGTAGATTCCATTATTATCCTCACTCTACACAGGATGAAACTAAAGCACAGAAGTTACTTACTCATGGTCACACACTTGGTCAGTGCTGGACACAAAATTTCATCCCACAAAGTCTGGCTACAGAACCCAGCACTGATGGAAAATTTGGCCAGGTGGAGAAAATCAGAAGAGAGATTTCAAAAGCACATGCGGAGGAAAACACACAGGTAAGGCTCTCAGTCTGGTTTTATTCTATGTCTCCTATCTGATCATATTCCAAATATATCCAAGTGAGGGTCTGGAGAAGTGGATAAGATCACAACGTATATATTAGAGAAGCAGGGGAGGGAGAGGTATCAGACTTAGAGTAAGGAGGGAGTGCTTTATTTCTGGCATTTAGTTCAAAGTAAGCCATCAGGTAGACTGAGAAAATACAGTAAATTAAAGGTGGTACTGACTTCTAGCAATTTACCTGAAAGTTATACCCACACAGTTATGTAAAGATACATGGTCAAAGGGCTCACACTTAAAAATACAAACAATCTAAGTCTCCAACAACATAAGACCAATTAAATAAATTATCAGACATACGTAAAATGGAACACCAAACAGACATTAAAATGAGAAATTTAACTACTGATATGAAATAATGTCCACAGCATATTATTAAATGACAAACACAAGTCACAATCTAAATGGATAGTTAACACTGGCTACTTTTGGGCAAAAGAATGACATAAGGGGAAAAAGACAAAAGCACTTAATACTGTCTGTAGTGCTCGAACCTCTTAAAACAGCCACCTGTATTTTCATTGCTCTCTATCTTCTTATGTGTTGTTTTTTAATAGCATTTTACTTCCAGAAATAATATTGTATAGCTTATTATTTCTTACATCCTGTTCTAGATGTTTGCTTAAAGTATCATCATCGTATTCCCAATGCCTGGCACACAGTAAGTGCTCAATTAGTATGTGCTGGATTAATAAATCAATTTCTTTCACAAGGTTCTCAGCGTACCCCAGGTTCTCAGTGATGGCATTTTATACCTAAAGAGCCAAAATACTCTCAGTAGGAAAATCTATTTAATATTCTCCAACTATTATCAAATGACTGAACATTTATTATAGCCAAAGCCATGTGTCAAGCCCTGGGAATATGAAAAAAATGGTCAGTGATATCAAAGAGATAATTAAACAGAACAAAGCCTAAGATTTCTTCCAGATATTAAAATTTCATGCATTTTTGAGGATTCAAGAGAAAGGAATATGCTTAGATTTTTTATATACATAGCAACTAAAAAATGAATGCTATATGACAGTCAAAGGAAAAACAGTATCAGAAAAACAAAAACAGGAGAAATACATACCAAGAAAGTTTACATCAAGGAGTTTTTTAAAAAAAAAAAAAAAAAAGGAAGAAAGTATACGGATTAGGGAAACCATTTTAGCCAAAGAGGTCAATCAGTAGTGGGAGAGGCTAGGACTGGCCTGTGGAAGGCCTGAAATGTTAAACCTGAACACTATTCTTTTACAGTGCCTTAGACAGACAGTAAAAATTTCAGAGAAGGAAATTAACTTATGAAGAACAGAGATTTAAGCAAAGAATTTGGTAGCAATGCAGAAGATAGATGAGCAGGGAATCTCTGGAGGCAGTAAGGCAGAGTGAGGACTATATGTTGCATTATTCCGGCTCAATGGGGCAGGAATGGAAAGAAAGGAATAGATATTTTCAAAGTCTTTACCTCGTTTCATGATTAAACAGAACAAGAGAGGAAGTCAGAGATAATCAGGATTCTACACTTAACAAGCATGGGAGAATGGTGGTACTACTAATAGGAAGAAGTCTGACAAATATGGCTTTAGATATGGTGAGTTTGAAGAAGCAGCAGGAAATTCAAATGGAAACCAGCTAAGAGGCAATTAAGAGACATAAACCAAAATCCAAAGGAGAACAAGACAGGAGAGAACGACTGAATAGCTGTCTAACTGATAAAGCCATGAAAGTGGAGAAGTCAAGTCAAAAAGAAGAGAAGTAAGAAGGGTTCCAAGAGACGAAAAGGCAAGAGGGTGAATGGAAAATAAAAACAATGAAGCATAATGATAGTCAATAAAGGAAGAATGATGTTTACAGAAGGAAAAAAAAATTAAACGTCTTTAAAATAGAGAGGGCAAAGAAAATGAGAACTCAAGTGAAGCTCCTCAATGTGGGGGAAGATTGTGACCTTAGAGAAACAGGTTCAGCAGAATTATGGAAGCAAAAGAGCAATTACAGTGGGTTAAAGGAATAAGAACATAGTGGGAGCAACCAATACAGGGCAGACTTTCAAAAGTATTAATAGTGAAATGCAATTACAGGTACAAAAATTCAGGAGCTTACAAGAAAACAAGAAAATACAAGTATTATGTGATCGATAGTTGTACCTTTTCTCTATTGAACAAAAAGCAGTCATTGCTACTCACTAATTCATTGGACAGTACGTAATCAACTTTGTTTTTTTTTCCAATAGAGGAACGTAATTTTCGGTCATGTGTTTATTTTAAAGATAGCCCACTAAACACCCAAAATGAGCAGTATTCAGAAATCTTTGTAGTAGTTGACCAGTATGTACCAATGAGTTGCAAAGCAAGCTCTTTTCAATGTAATGGTCTGACTGATAACTATTGAGTTCTTCAGTACTTCTAATTATTAATTGATAAACCTGAGAGAGTGCAGTTGTATTTGTAGTTTTATTTTCTTTTCAAGGCAAGCTTTGAAGAATAGAATTTGCATTATTAAAAAAACAAACAAAAAAAATCCAATTCTTTGTAAATAGTAAAAAACCATGCGATTCAGAACCTACATATGAATGTAAGTAGAATAGAGTTAATTGATATGGATGGACATAATCAAGTTACACAGACAGGTAATCTGCTGCTCCAAATCCTTTGAGCAATATGGGGGTGGGAAAAGAGTAGCAGAGTATCATAATTAAATAAAAATAATTGCAACTATTAAAAACAAATGACTTACTTTAAGAATTTCATCCACACAGCTCACATCACCAGAAGCAGATGCCTTAAGAAAAAAATAGAAAAAGAAACACATATTAGATTTAGTCATGTATTATTAGATTATCACTTGCTGCACAGATATAAAAATATTATTAGAAATAAAATAACATTTAAGTAAATAATTATCCCATTACTCCAATTCACAACACTAATTAGAATCTGTGGACTAATTTCCTTAAAATACAAATTTTTCAGTACTAAAAAATTTTAATCATCAAACTCTCTGCATGGCTCAAGGAACTTAATTATATTTTTCAAATATTTTTAAAATTTTATCTTTCTTATCCTTAGATTAGAAATAATTTGTTAAATGTAATTTTGCTGGTGAGCAGCTTGCCAAAAATTTTAAAGTTTATTTATATTCAAAATACAGCATGATACTGAGATATATCATTTCACATAAATTATCAGAGTAAAACCAAGTTTATGGAAAGATTTACTTTTCTGGAACATCATGGGTATTTTAGATATTCCTTCTTAAAATGTGGAAGATAAATTGCTTATTCTAAACCACAAACAGAAAATAGGGAGCTGGGGTTCAAACCCAAACCTAATTCCTAGGATGATGTTGTTTGAAAAAGAACAAATTACCACTTTACTGTTCTTTTGAGAAAAGTTATTAGATGCCAAATGCCACTAACAACGAGCTTACCTAGACAGGAAAGACTTTCAAAAAAGCAGTTTACCTATACCTATCCCTGACTCTTCCCCCAATCATTCTGTGCTAAGAGCTATGATTTTTGGCTACCGATATTAATTTCTTTTTAATTACACAAACTACATTAAAAAACAAAATTTCACAATCAATGCTCACTTCCTTTGGTTATTATGAATATGTTTTGGTTTACAATTATAATTACTGTAAATTTCAAACCACCACTATGAATTCAGAGCAGCTGGTCTCAACCCTGTAACCAGAGAAAAGGATCACAACAAAACCATATACACCACCACCATCTTCATAGGGGGTGGGGGGGACAGAAATAGTCCCAACATTTACCACAATGAACCACACCCTTATCTCTTTCAAGAGTCACTATGAGAAGTAATAGGAAATTTAATTTTCTTTTCAAACAAAAAATAAGGTGCATTATTTCCTCAAATCAAGAGGAGAAAATCTAAGGTACTGATGGATCATGAATCATTCTTATATTTTATAAGTGACTTGTCATTATAATTTTTGAAAACTGAATGACAGTATCTCTGTTGCCCAAGAGGAGAAGCTAACAGCTCTATGGATCCACTTGGGAGTCACTTTAAACACTTAACATTCCTTACTATTAAGGCAAAGAGAGAGGCAGTTCAAATTCAATCATGATTTCATGGTTAACTGCTTACACATTCATAATGTTAAAAGCTCTAAATGTGTGACTTACATCCAGTGGTTGGGAAGGTATTTTGAGCTTGGTGAGATGTGCTTTGCTGCTGGGCTTCAGCTCAGTCATGCTATTGCCATGAGACTGGCTGCTGTAGTGCTCTGAGGACAGCTTTGGTTCCATGGACTCCTGTCCATCCATGGGCCGCACATAGGCAGTGGGTTTCTGTAACATTGAACTGGACTTTGACATCAATGAAGGGGGGAAAGACTGACTTGAATGCTGTCCACTTGAAAACGGTACACGAGAAGGAGAATCCCAGTTTGCATCAGGGTCCCGAGGTGATTTGGAACGTTGATGTTCCTTGCTATGGTGATCATTCCCATGAGACCTGGAATGACTGGAGCTTAATGAAGAAACAGCCTGGGGTTTCCCAGGGCTGGAAGAGCGTGATTTGGAGTGTTCTGATCCATGCTGGCCTTTTTTCCGGCTACTGCTTCCACTACTGCTATATGAGTCACGGTCATGCCTCTGGCTAGTACTGTTAGTGCTGCTACTGCCACCTGCACTGGTCCGTTGGCTGCTGTGCCCACTCTGTAAACCTGAGGACCGTTTCTGAGACTGAGAAGTGCTGGGTGCAGGTCCTACTGGAGTCCATTTGCTACTCTGATGCGAGCTTCCATGTCTTTGTTCAAAGAAATTTGGGTTGGGTTTTTCATCTGCTGTTGGTGGTACTGTAGGCTTGGGAATTGCAACAAGCTTTGGTATAGATCTGTCCCCTATGAAATCCTTCATTTCATCGTAGTTTCCAAGCATACTCTGAATGCGACTTGATAACTTGTCTTCTTTGCTAGTCTACACAAAATGTAAAATAAAATTGCACAATTAGCACAAATGCAAATAAAATATGATTATAAACTGACTTTCCAAACTTCAAACAGAAAAGGAGTTTTTTAAAGGGAGGCTTCACATCATACCTTGAAGCTAACATCTGGAAACAAACTCCCAAGTATACTTTATAGTGAAAATATTCATTTAAAGTATCTAAAAATAACCACAGTAAAGCACAAATATTCTGTAAGACAACTAAGAAATAGATTCCAGGAGGGGCAAAAAAAAACCCTAAATTTCACCAATAAACCTAGTAACACTGCGGCAAAGTCTTTTGAAAAGCAGGAAAAAAAAAAAAATCAAGATTATGCCTTTATGTAATTATGTTCCATGGCAGAAAACTGTCCAACACTCATAATTTGGCTGCCTAGGAAAACATTGGGAGCTCCGGTAGCATAGTGCCTAAGGCACCTGATTGCTAGCCAGAAGGCTGGAGATTCAAACCCACCAGCCACTCCTCGGAAGGAAGGCTGGGCAATTTACTTCCATAGTGATACCACCTCTGAAACCCAAGGAGGGGTCACTATGAGTCAGGTCTGACTTGACAGCACATAACAACAACAGGAAAACATTATCTTCCTTGTAATTCAACGTTATGATTAAAAGAAGAAACAAAAATTTAGAGAAACCAAATTTTAAATCCTGGCTATTATTTCTGACCAATAAAATCTCCAACTTTTGAAGTCATTAGTACATACTTTAAATTTCAAACAATTATTGTAGGGTAATATAAAGTTTCAAGATGTCTACTAGCTGTGCTGTTGTTGTATTGAATACAGTTTTGTGTTACATTCACAAAAATGATGTCAGTATTCCCCAAATCTAAAACCAAACTCACTGCCATTGAGTCGGATCCAACTCACAGTGACCCCACCTTGGGTTTCTGAGGTGGTATCACTACGGAAGTAGATTGCCCAAACTGCCTTCCGAGGAGTGGCTGGTGGGTTTGAACCGCCAGCCTTCTGGTTAGCAGTCAAATGCCTTAGGCACTAAGCCACCACTGCCTTTAAGTTGGAAAATCCTTAAAATCTCTGAATAAATGGCTTTTACATATCCCATAAATGGTTTCTATAAACACCAAGTATTACAGAGGTAGAACCTAAGATACGTTGTACTTTTAACATTTCATCAGGAAAAAAAAATCGAACTTTCAACTATAAGCCAACCATGGTCATTTCTGCCAAAATAAATAGTATTATTGCTATTAGACACAATATAGTGCCTAAGGCACTTGACTGCTAACCAGAAGACTAGCGGTTCAAACCCACCAGCCATTCCTCAGAAGGAAGGTATCCATAGTGATACTGCCTCAGCAACCCAAGGAGGGGTTGCTATGATCGGGTCCAACTTGACGGCACATAACAACAACAACATATGCCTTTAAAATGTAAGGAAAACAATTCAAATAAAATCCAAAGCAAAATCAAATATTAGAGACATCTAAGGCCAACAAACTACATTAAGAGTTATCAGAAGTGGTACCATTCAGTGTTTAATGTAATCTCAAATCAACAGTAATAAAAATAGCAAGTGGTTCAATTTCTTAAACACCCCTGGCAACATGCTTTAATATAAATTTGATATTATTAATTAAGCATTAAATACATTAGAAGGAAAATCAGAGAATTTAGCCTATGATAACAGAAAAAAGAACTGAATAATAATAGCAATAAAAACCTCACTGCCACTGAGTCAATTCTGACTCATAGTGACCCCCACTGGGTTTCTGAGGCTGTAAATCTTTATGGAAGTAGATTGTGTCATCTTCTTTCTGTGGAGTGGCTGGTGGGTTTGAACTGCTGACCTAGTTAGCAGCCAAATGCCTTACTTACTAAGCTACCAGAACTCCTTTGAAGACTAATGACAGTCAGTGAAATTCAGTACATTAAGTGACCAAATGGCAAGAAGGAGCATCAAAAGCATCCATGAAATACCACCTTTGATTGATGTTATACCCAAAGAGCACCTGGGAAACAGCAGATAATGCATAATGATTTACAAAAATTTTAATTTAATTTAAGGCTCAGAAAGGGGACAAGCCTGTCCAAGCTTAGTGGGCAATCCAGCGCATAGAGATGAATGCCAATCCAGACCACACTTTTAAAAGTTAAGAGTAGCAAAGGGAGGAAAGGAGGGCTTCTAGGATGCTGGTAATGCTCTATTTCATGACTGGGTAATGACTGTATGTCTGTTTTCGTGCTATGAAAATTCTTTGACCCTAACACTTAATTTGTGTACATTTCTGTATGTATGTTATATATACTCCAATGAAAGTTTACTCCAAGAAAATATACTCTGTTTACAAGAATGGAAAAATGTTAAATTACTAAGGGAAATGATAGTTCTTCTCCAGTAGACTATTCAAGATTATAACATTTCGAAAGTATAAATGTGTTACTGGGGGAAAACACAAAAGGACAACTTACTACTTTGTATGGCTCAGCAAAAAGAGGAGAGCTAGGTGGGAAGGGGTCCTCGCCCTGCTGAATTTCCTGATTCCGCCTTTCCCGTTCTTTCATACGCAGCACATTCCGGTCTTCACGGTTCATGTTGCTATGAAGAGAAACACAATCTTTACATCACAAAAAAGAAAACAAAGATTAAATTTTCTGTACTGATTTAGTCAGTTTAATGCTTCAATCAGAGACTCTCTTTTGACTGCCAAGTAATAACAGGCATTTGTGCTAAAGTTGGGTTTTGGTAATGATTTAATCAACTAATACCAATAGTTCTTCCACAACTATACAGAGAGGAAACACTAGCCCAGAATATTAGGACCCACCCCCATCGAAACACTTAACCCTATCAATTTTTAAAGCGCACTTCTAGCTAAAAGTCAGCTAAAACTTGTATGTCAAGAAGGAAGGTAGTACTTAAACCCCAATCCTCAGTATTTCCTGTAAGCCTTTCCCAGCTTCCTCTTCAGTAATCTCACTATTCTTTGCCATTAGAGGCGACGCAACCCATTCCCATCTCCACCCCCTCCCCCCAGGGTCCAGTGGCTTTTCTCTACTTTGCATCTACCTTATCTTGATTTCTTTTTGTCCCAAACACAGCTTCCTTGGTGTCCATCCTTATGGCAGTTTGACCTCAGCTTTGCTGTTGCTCTAGATTCCCTAAAAAACGACATTTCTGCTCTAAATATATTAATATTTCAATTAACACCTCAATAAATGGCAAAACTGAGGCTTCAGCAATAATATCTAAAATTAACTTGGGTTAGTAACAGTTGAAATTGTATTGAAAAAGTTTTGGGGTGGGGAGAAAAAAAAATTGACATAATTTCTGTAATCATGACAGTATGTTCTATTTTCACTAAGAACAAACCAAGGGAAATAGCTTATTTTAGCAGCAAGGATTTTGGTTTAAACAGACAATAATGATAAAGATCGTCAAATCCTGGGATAAGGGATTACCACACCCTCTGCAACATCCTTTCCTGGAGATAAATTTAACTATCTCTTTTAATTTTTTTTAATTAAAACAAAAGCACTGTTACAGGCCACAGGGAAAAATTAGGTTATACCATACTTGTGTAACACTTCTAGCCATAAGTTTCATGAAGCAAATATAACTAGAAAATTAAAATCAACTGAGACTGTGGAAAACTGTAATTGTAAAAACAGAATGGCCAGCAAAACAAATATTCTCTGGAGGACCTGTATCAGTGGTGAGAATAGTGAAAGTAAACATTCAAAGAGAAAACTTCCTGATATACACAATTCAGTATCATGCAAATAGCTTATTCAAAAATAAATGCTATTGCAAGATATGGAAATAGTGTGGCCTTTCTTTGGTCTCCCTTGTACCTAGCAATATACTAAACCATAAAAAATATTTTATCTTTCTTTAATGAACACCATAAAACACCCACACTTACTTAGAATAAAACCAAAAACATACTACCCTCCAGCACACTGGAACCAATTTAAGTGAACCAACAATCAAATTTCAAAGAGACCTCATGAGCTATGGTGAAACCAGCATACAAAGTTATTTGTATCTGATAAGAGTCTATAAAGGACGTGTTAAGTACTAATGTCCTTAAGCCAATTCCTGAAAAAATCAGAAAAATCTTTTTAAGGTTGATTTAATTTTACATATTTAACAGCACAAGAATAACCAGTCAAAAAATACTTGTATTTCTGCAAAAACAGATCTGAAGAAGTTAAAGATCGCCACAATAAAGTGCCTTCTATAGTCCAATGCCAAAGAAATTTTGTTTTCTTCTCTCAATCAATGAAATTCATTGGACTGAGTATTTTCTCTTTTAATAAGACTGCCAGGAAGCACAGAGCTACATTAATTGATCACTAAAAACTTAATGTAGTAACATTCTTAGTTTATGGCTGTGCTTTTAATTCTGTGAGATATATTCTCTGAGGCTGCTAAACTGAAGAATTTGTCTGTTTCTGTTGGCTGAGTTTGAATCCTGGCTTCACCATTTTAATAGCTATGTCACCTTGGAAAAGTACTTAGTACTTAACTGTTCTTACTAATTACACTTTCTTTTCCTATTGAACTGGGATTTGTTAACTATTAAAATCTCACGTATCTTGGGGTTTATTTCTGGTCTCTGTTTTGTTTTACTGACCAGTTTGTTTATTTCAGTGTACTACTACACTATTTTGGTAATGATAGCTTTACAGTAAGTTTTAATTTCTGGTATGGCAAATTCTTCTTGCTCTCTCCCCAGCACCTAGCACATATTAGATGCTTTTTGCATAGTTGTTACATTATAACTGCACTTAATAAATAGTAAGTCTTGTTTTAGGTAAATTTGGGACGCCCATTTATTTACCTCTAGGAAACTGAAGGTTGGCATGCTAGATAGTATTCTTTCCTAGGCAAGCACGGTATTGCAGTGTAACTTTTTCAAGTGTAATAAACAGAGACCCAGAGAAGAAGCTGAGAACATCCCATGACCAGTGTGAATTCTGAAAGAGTAAGGGTGTACCTTAGGTACAGTACTTTAGGCCTTCAGGAAGGGATAATTAGATAGTAAATCCCAAGGCTAGAAAATGCTGCAAAGCATCCAGTATATTACACATTAGAGTATATGCATTAATATATTAGTATTTTAGCATAGTAGCATTCTAATATGTAAAATTTATCATTCTCTTTCTCCTATCTTTTATTCTAAAAAATTTCAAACCTACAAAAAAAAGTATGAATATCCATACACCCTTCACTTAGATGTACCAATTGTTAACTAATTGTTAATTTTACCAAATTGTTTTTCTCCCTTCCCACATGTTTGTTCTATTTCATCATCAGGTACATTTCTAGATGTGGAATTGCTCAGTCAAGGGTATACATGATCTCATTTTAATATACTATCACTAAACTCCTTCTCAGAAAGATGGTGTTAACTTATAGCCCAACAAGTAAATGACACAAAACTAAAAAACCAAACCCACTCCACAGGGTCAACTGCGACTCATAGCGACTGCCGTGGGGTTTCCCAAACTGTAAATCCTTATGGAAGCAGAATGCCTAATCTTCCTCCCTAGGAGCAGTTGATGGGTTTGAACTGCTGACCTTCTGGTTAGCATCTAAGTACTTTTAACGCACTACGCCACCAGAGCTCCTTATTAAATAACAAGTGACCAAAAAAAAAAAAAAAAAATCAACAGTGGCAATTATCTCTCAATTTTAAGTACCTTAACAATGTAATGTAAGGTCCAAATTTCATTTCAACTATAAATAGTTGAACTGTATTTAGTAGATGGGACAATTCAAAAGATTCAAATTTTAGTTCTGGTCATCTAACATACTAGTTATAGAATCTAGATAAGTTAAGTCTCTAAGCCTCAGTTTTATCATTTATAAGATGTCCATACTACATTTAATCTGATAAGGATCGGGTAAGAGAAGTACTTGGAAATACTGGAACACTATATAAGAATAAAGGGTTTAAAAGGGGGAGGGGCGCAAAAAGAAAAAAAAACCCAAACCACTGCCATCGAATCAATTCCAACTCATAGTAACCCTCACTGGGTTTCCAAGGCTGTAAATCTTTACGGAAGCAAATTGCCCCATTTTCCTCCCACGAAGCAGCTGATGAGTTTGAACCATGACCTTCTGGTTAGCAGCCAAAGGCTTTTACCCACTATGCCACCAGAGCTCCTTATAGAAGAATAAAAGGTTAAAAAAAAAAAAAAAAATTGGGGTGAAATTTGGGGGGGGGGAGGAATATGGGCAGGAGGGATCTTTTTGAGATGACAGAAATGTTCTACAATTAGCTGTGGAACTATGACCACAATCTAAGTATCAATGAATCATAACTTAAAAGTGGGTGAATTTTAGGGAATGTAAATTATACCTCAAAACTGTTTTGTTTTTTAAGAGAAAAGGATTATCATTAGCTTGAGAAGCATCCTAGAGACTATCATTTGTCAACTCTTCCTCTATCCTGATGACTTTATTGATGGGCTTCAGACCAGTGTATACTGTTAAACACTTCAGGTTTGCAATCTTTTGCTTAAACTGCCCATAGATACAACAGTATTCTTGTGTCATTAAAATAATTTGGTGTAAGACCAGGCTTACTGGTCTGACAGAGATGGAACTCCCGAGACTATGGACCTCAGGTACCCTTCAAGCCTGGAACTGAACTCACCCCTGTGGCTCAACTTTCAGTCACACAAGAGACAGGCCTATAAAGTAAAAACCACCACCAGAGAGGTCTGCACTCATTACAAGACTCAACAGTATCAGATCAAAAAGGTAGCATATGTCCAGGGATAAAGGTCAGGAGGCAGGAAGGGACAGGAAAGAAGGATGAAGGGAAATGGTAAACAGAAGAATACAGTAGAAGAGTGCTGCAATGACTGTCACAAAACAAAACGTATATGAATTGTTGAATGGAAA